CCAACTGCTGGGAAAACTCAACACTCCCCACGCGGAAGCAGCAGGTGGGAGCTTTGGACTCCCACTGTAACAGCGGGTACCGAATATCCAGGTAGAGCAAGCAAGCAAGCTGTAATTTAGAGTCGCGGAGTCCATGATTTACCATGCCACACTGCACCAGTTTATTTACAACAGTGAAAAGTTACAAAGAAACCGACCTGACAAGATCTTACCGCGCAAAGTCTTACTGGGTGGATACCGCCTGATTGGGTGAGGGGCACCGACTGCAAAGCTAAGCAAATTAAGAAACAAATGAAAGCAACATAGTGATATAGATTTTCCATCGCTATCGCGCTCTTTTTAAACCATATTAGCGATCAAACAAGTGAAAGCGGGTAAGATAATATTATTAATGATAACAAAATCATTGTGGAAGCGTTGTGAAAGGGATGGGGACGGGAGGGTGGGAAACGGACTTTTTATGCAGCAGGTAGCGTGAGCATGTGAAGTGCTATTAAAAAGCGTGACGTAATGCCGGCGGATATTACGTGTTTCTAAGCTTAGCTGCACGTGAGGCAAGTTGATGATGTAAGCGGAAGTGAATCCAAGCGCGGGAATAAGATGGTGGACGAAATCAAAACAATGGAGAGGTTAGAAATTGGAACGAAACGGTAACGCAGCCCATAACACCATTTAGCTAAATATTGCTAAATGTCAATAAAATATCAATCATAAAAATTCCAATATCCCTATCTTATTTTGACCAGAATATAACAAAGTGACTATCCTGCTGGCTTACGGCTCAGTGCATGCAGCAACAACTTGTGACAAATAGAGATGTAGTCAAAATAAAACAGTATCCGGACATTGACTACTGAATATTTGAAACTAGCATGTATCTTTCAGTTGCTGTTAGTTTATATATCACTTTGTTCAGTCTGCAATGAACCATTCTGTCGGTCTGAGGTAACATAAACGATCTGCACAAGATTCTGCTCCTTATAAAACATGTTTATTTTGTGTTATAAGTCATTATGGGTAGTAATTTGTGTATTTCTTGCAGGATTCTCATGCACGTTAAATTGCTGATATCTGTCCCAACAAATAAGAACCATACTGACTTCTTAAACAAATGTGTGTGATACCTGTGTAGATGGATGGTAGTAGTTTATTTTTGAGTATCATATGTTGACTAGTATCCCTACAACAGAATTTTGCTGTCCTTATTTTCATTCAACAATCCTTTAAGACAACAATAGTATTAAGTGCATTTATAGACTTGATACCATAAATGTCATGGATCTTTACAGCAATGTGTACACAAATGCATACTGAACTGCAAAAGAAACCTCACCTTTCAAAACCAAATGCAAAATTTTGTTCTTACAAGGTGGTGGTTTTATTATGATTGTACCATTTTGTTAACATGTTTTTTAATCCAAATTGACAGTTATAACCAACATCAGTATGTTTCCTGATGAAAGAGCATATCAACCAAACGCACCTAAACAGGCAGACGTGGTCAAAGGTTCTGTATGACATTCATGAAAATGAAAATGCACGTGCATATCGTGACAACCCTACCAATGAAAGCGAGTCCCAAATTCACCTGAAATCATTCTTGTTTTGACACAATCGCCATGCCACGACTTACAAGAGATCAGAGGAACCAAGTTGGCCAGACTGCATGGAGGGTAGGATTTTCAGTTGGTTGTATATAAAGTGTGTAGCAAGTTCGTCATTTTGATAATTTCTCGACTTCAACGAAGACATGCCGAATCGTTGCGTTGTCAATTGCTCCTAGGGGTCGGGCGATGGTGTCACCATGCACAGATTTCCACAAGACCCTGCAGTTCATGCTAAATGGGTTATATTTGTGAGTGTGAAGCGAGCGTTGTGGAAGCCTGGAACGATATCTTTCTTGTGTTCAGATCGCTTCAAGGAAGTTAAAGAATCAAATCTACTTACTAGTTGTAGTAAAATATGTATATGATTGATGACCATAAAGATTTTCTATGACACAACTTGTAACATAACGATTTCTTCCTCGGAAGCGAGGTTGTGGTCGAAGTGACAATAATATTGTAAGTAGTATTATATTGACACCCACCTCGCTTCCACGAGAGAAATTGTTATGTTATAAGCGCTGTCATGCAAAATCCTATTGGTCAATAAAATACATATTTTACTACCAGTAGAAAGTAGTTTTGATATTTTAACTTGGTGAAAACAAACCTAAATAGCATTTATCCTCAGAATGTCGGATGTTCGCGAGAGGGCGCCGCCATTTTTTTAAATCGTGAAGTCACGGGCTAAAGTCTGTTAGAAATAATGAGATTATGGTTTGTTTTCATCAAGTTAGAAAATCAAAACTACTTTCTACTCGTAGTTAAATATATATTTGAATCAGGACCAAAAGGATTTTGCATGACACAACTTGTAACATAGCGATCGGCAGTATCACTGTAATAAGTTGTACGTCGTATAGCATTGCTCACTTCTGTGTTAACCCTACATCCGGTGTCAAGTAAAACCACCGTTTACCAAGAAGCCATGTTGTTGTCATTCCTGATTGTTGTGGCCATACTGGTGTGGTGGCAGCGCTTACAATATACTCACGTCTACCTGCGCTACTTTTCAACAAGTCTGTATAGCCCACATTTCACACATAGGTGAGCGATCAGCCAAATTAGAAGGGTTTGGTGATGGACACAACATACGTGCGTTCATTGTTCGGTTTTCGATCACTTCACAACAACGTAATATTTGACATTTATACATCACCTGTGAACTGAACCTTTACCAAAATGGCTCACACACATCGAGCCCCTAAGCAGTGGTGCCTTTGCAAGAACGAAACAGTGAACTCTTTTGAAAATTGGAAGCAAAATCTAGTGTATATATTGTCTCTTGATCAAGACTTTGCCCCGTTTCTCATTGATGGCGCCGTATGGGGAAAGAAGACAAGAGCTGACCCTCTAAGACGATTTGTTAATGATGGGGAAAACGTTCCTCGCACTCGCAGACAAACAGCTGAGCAGAAAGTCAACATGCTAGAGTTAATGCTCGGGCAAATTGTTAATTATTGCCAAGTCATCTCCAGACAGACTATCGTTAAAAATTCAACCTCCAATGATAGTGTCTGGCAAACCATCAGATAACACTATGGTTTTCAATCCACTGGTGCCCTCTTTTTGGACTTTTCTGACATTAAACTCCAACCAGATGAACGGCCAGAGGATCTGTTTCAGAGACTAAATGCCTTTGTCGAGGACAATTAACTCGTTCGTAATGGAGGAATTACCCACCACAATGTCGTTATTGAAGAAGAAGAAGAAATTTCTCCATCCCTGGAAAACTTCATTGTACTTACCTTACTTCAACTCATCCACAATGACTTGCCGCAACTGGGGAAATAGAGGTTCAGTACGGATCTTCGGTCCAGAACGCTAGCCTCCTTGAAACCGGAGATTTCACAAGCATTAACATCCCTGTTAGATGAGATTCACTCCACAGAGGAAGTCAAGGTTATGAGGTCCGCGGCTTCCTGGTTCGACTCAAGGTTGACTTGTTTCAAGGCCAGATCATCCCCTCCTCTTAAAGTTTGTCCTTTGTGCAAACAAGCAGGGACACTGGACACTTCCTGAGTCAATGCTCATTTCTGCCGGACCATGACAAACGGTATATGGCAAAAGCCCGGAGAATTGCTGACATCCTTGATACTCCATACAGTGACATCTCTGAAGAACTTGAAGACATGGAGTGGTTGTGGTGCCACAGGTAATATGATTCGTCTGTCAACTGCGACATACCTTGGAGTCAAGATACAGAATGAATCTATATCAGCACGCCAAGCAGATGGCATCTCCCCCCCCTTAAAGTCTCTGGCGAAACACGCTTCTCAGTTGTTCGAGTTGGTAGGGAGTTCCAGTTTGAAGGTTTAGTAGAGGAGGATCTGGACATTGATATCCTCGCAGGAATCCCGTTCATGGAGTTGAACAACATAACTGTTCGTCCAGCCAAACATCAGGTCATACTACTTACTTGTACAGCTCATCAAATGACTCGCCTTCCCAACACAGCATCAGAAGAAAACATGTCCTTCGTTCCCCCAGCGAAATTACAACAATTTGGTCAGGAGAGTTCATCGAAGTTGCCCTCTCAGAGGAAATGAGTCAAGTCGACTCTACCTTTGCCATCGAACCCCGAAGAGATCTCGACAAGAACTCCTAAGTGATCTTCGGTGGCCTATCTCTGACATGGTGACAAGTGTGGCAGGAAAGGTACAAATACCAAACATGACAGACAATCCCATGATCATCAAACGACATGAGCACTTTTGCCAATTTCTCACCACCTTGGTAACCAGCCCCCTGGATTCAAGCTTAATGTCCAAGAAATCACCGCCACCTCCAGCACCAGCAGTTCAAAGGACTGTAAGTAACCCCTCAGCCATCTTCTCTACTGCTGTACAGATGGATCCTGACAACACATTTCCTCCGGAAACCAGAGAGCAGTTTAGATCGCTTTTGCTGGATTATGACGATGTGTTTGATCCCACTATCAAGGGCTACAACGGTGTGTCAGGCCCTTTCAAAGCTGTTATCAATATGGGTCCCTTCCAACCCCCTCAGCGCAAGGGTCGGTGTACTCAGTATTCCAGAGACAAGCTAGTAGAACTCCAAGAGAAATTTGACAGTCTAGAGAACATGGGAGTCTTTGTGAAGCCAGCGGATATAGGGATCACAGTGGAATACATCAACCCTTCCTTCCTCGTCAAGAAATCTAACGGAGGTTTTCGCCTTGTGACTGCATTTGCTGATGTCGGTCGCTACAGTAAACCGCAACCTTCTCTCATGCCTGATGTTGACTCAACATTGCGATTGATTGCTTCCTGGAAGTACATTATTACCACAGATCTGACGTCACCTTTTCACCAGATCCCCTTGGCACGGGAGTCTCTCAATGACTATTGAGTCTCCACTCCTTTCAAAGGAGTCAGAGCTTATGCTAGGTGCGCGATGGGTATGCCCGGCTCTGAGGCTGCCGTAGAAGAACTCATGTGTCATGTACTGGGCGATCTGTTAGCCGAGGGTATAGTTGCAAAACTCGCCGACAACTTGTACTGCGGTGCAGATAACCTTGAGGACCTACTTCACAATTGGCGACGGGTATTAGATGCACTCCAACAAAACAATCTGTGCCTCGCAGCACATAAGACTCTCATTGGACCAAAGACAGTGACCATATTAGGATGGATATGGCAAGAGGGCACCATCAAAGCCAGTCCACACCGAATAGCCACCCTCTCCTCCTGCACTCGTCCAACCAAGGTGAGCGGATTACGTTCCTTTATCGGGGCGTTCAAAGTCCTCGCAAGGGTAGTTCCACACTGTGCTTCACTCATTGCCCCACTAGATGATGTTCAAGCCGGCCTCTCATCACAAGACACCATACAGTGGACTGACACCCTCATATCAGCATTCGATCAGGCTCAGAAGGCCCTAACCAATGCTAGGACCATTACCCTACCGAGACCAGAGGATCAACTGTGGATTGTCACAGATGGAACAGTGAAACGACATGGTATCTGAGCAACCGTATATGTCACTCGCAACCAGAAACCACAGCTGGCTGGCTTTTTTCAGCGCCAAACTCAGAGATCGCCAGATCACGTTGTTACCATGTGAGACTGAAGCCCTGTCCATTGCCGTGGCTGTTAAACATTTTTCTCCTTACATCATACAGTTCCAACACAGAGCCTGCATACTGACAGACAGTAAGCCTTGTGTCCAGGCATTTGAGAACCTTTGTCGCGGAGAGTTTTCCGCCAGCCCCAGGGTATCTACCTTCCTCTCTGGTGTCAGTCGCTACCAAGCTTCGGGTGCACCACTAATCAGGCTCTCCTCAGACTTCGCAAGCCAAAGAATGCCTCCACCTAATGTGCCAGGTTTGCTCCTTTGTTCAGAGAACCGAAGACTCTGTTGTTTCACGTTTATGTGTCCAGGACATTTTGAAAGGCGATGCCAAACTACCGTACACCAGTCGTGCCCCATGGTTGGCACTTCAGGCAGAATGTCCTGATTTGCGACGTACACATGCTCATCTCTGATTTACAGTAACACAAGGCACACGACCATCGAAGAAACAGACTACCGTTAAGGATGTGAAACACTATCTCAACGTTGCTACAATAGCCAAAGATGGTCTTCTTATTGTTCGTCGTTCCGAACCTCTTGCACTTACCAGGGACTGCATCATGTTGCCACGAACAGTATTAGAAGGTCTCCTCACGGCCATCCACATCCAGCTAGACCATCCCTCTTGCCATCAACTAAAACAAGTAATGCATCGTTGCTTCTACACACTAGACATGGACAAAGCTATCGACCATGTGACTGGTAGTTGCCATCCCTGTTTGTCACTTGCGAAGGTACCACACTACCTTCACGTCCAGTCAAGCAGTGACCCCCAGAAGCCATTGGGTTGCTCTTTGCTGCTGATGTCATGAAGCGGGAACGCCAACTCATACTTGTGGTACGCGAGTGTGTAACCTCCTATACAACTGCATGCATTGTGGAAGACGAAAGACACCTTACTTTACGAGATGCTCTGCTCAAAATGTGCCTCGAACTTAGACCTCTGGATGGTCCACCCTCTGTGGTACATGTTGATCCAGCTCCAGGTTTCACTGCTCTAGCCAAAGATAATCTCTTACAGCGCCACAGATTAGCTGTAGGGGTTGGAAGATCCAAGAATGTTAACAAGAACCCTGTGGCAGAGAGGGCCATACAGGAGCTTGAACAGGAACTCTTGCGCCAGGACCCCTTAAGCGGTACGTGCACCCCTTTGACTTTGACACATAAGATCCAGAGGGATGTCCTCAAGAGAAATGTTGACACAAAGGGATCAATTCTCCAATGCGCAGTTACCAGTGTCAGACAGAGATCTTGTGACAAAGCAGCATCAACAGTGTCTTCGCAACCACCCGCATAGCGAACACTCCAAGTTCCCAGGAGGAAAGGTCTACTCCCCACCAACATATGTCTTGGTGATCTTGTGTATCTCTTTGATGACAGATCCAAACTCAATGCCAGGAAACGCTACCTAGTTGTTTCGATTGATGATCCATGGTGCAACATAAGAAAATTCACACCAGCTCTGAAGTACCGCGTATTGAGTGAAGCTGTCCGATTGCTACAAAGTTGACGATCAAGGTCTGAAATTGCCAACTTATCCCCATAACTGCACTGACAATGACTCTGATGATGGTCCAGTTACCACTGTATACCCTACACCAGTTCAACCCGAAGTGGGGCGGTGGGATAGCCTAGTGGTTAAAGCGTCTTCAGTATTTAGTCCTATGCTGGAAACACCACCTCTATGTACAGTAGAATGCCGCAACAATCTCAGCACCCTGCTGACGTTTTCCTGGAGTCAAGAAAGAATGTGACACACAGTATGTGATTGGACCTTTCACTACCCCACCCTATGACATTTACAGAGTGAGTCTGCTAGGCTTGGCCAAAGGGAAATATTCAGGGAAGAAACGCCTGATTCTGGATTTATCGGCACCACACGACAAAAATGATGTCCCTAGCATTAATGGGCTTATTGATAAAGATGCTTGTTCTTTAACATATGGGACACCAGACCAAGCTATTGCCATAATCATCAAGTTGGGGAGAGGCATGCAGAGGTACAAGGCAGACATCACGGATGCCTTTAAGCAGATCCCACTGGACCAAAAGTATTGGCCTTTCTTTGGTTTTAAGTGGAAAGAATCTTACTAAGTAGTAGGGGGGAATAGCGGTACGGGACCAAGTCCAACAAAAGCCTCTGCAAAGCCTTATTTCACAAATAAGGCTTTTGTCAGACCCTTAGCTCTCGCCCCATTACCCCTACTATTTTTTCCCAACCTATAAAAAGTTGAGACACCAGCGGGAGTCGAACCCCACACGCAAACTATAATAGGCCACACCACTCATCCGACTGAGCTATCAGGGACTTAGCTGACGTATCTCGGTTTAACGGGTCTATACTGGGATTGCTCTATAATAGCTCCACGTCATGGCGCTATGCCGTGTTGACAGGGGGTAACATTGTACCGTACGGTATGACTAATAATTCCTCTATAACGAAAGCTCTCCCTGGACCATCTCTCAAGTAGTACAAGTTCGGCTCGTCGGCTTTGATGCCTACTTTATCTATGTTGTAAGTTTTGACTGACCATATAGGATCGGTGGCTCGTTTCTGAGCGTACCCTTGTGTTCCCGCGGCTGGTAGAGGTACCTCACTAGTGCCCTATCTGGTATCTGTTTCTCCTTCCCACGCAATGGAGCAGCCGACTCTGCTACTATTGATTTTAGTTTGATAGCGTCGGCTGGTTTCTTGCCAGTGAGCCGTGTGGCTTCATGGTTGATTGCCGACACCACCTGAGGTAGTCGTGCTACCCATTCAGTCGACCGTTTCCCCGGGTTGGCCATCTCTCTCGCATACTGATCCAGCAGGTGTGACACGACACCAATGAACTCCCGCCAGGGGTCAACTTGCAACTCTGTTGGCCACGTCAGCGGACTGCGTTTGTATATGCGTTCGAATCCGCGGGCTACCTGGGCCGAATCTTTTGCGGTTAAGGGTTCGGCTTCCTTGTAGCGACTGGCAACGTCCACTACGGTAAGGGCATACTTGTACCTCTTGTCATGGGGTAGGAACAGGAGGTCGGCCTGGTGAACGCTATTGGGTATGTTAATACCGAACTTCCTTCTAGGCACGTAGCGTGGTGCCGGTAAATAGATCTGCCACAGGGCTTGTTTTTCAAGCCACGCTTTGGCCTCCTCGGGTACTTTCAGCCATTTTAGCCAGCTTATGTACGGCGCTAACTCCTTTCCAGTACCCACGCGGGCTGTAGTAAATAGCCTCAAACTTTCTCTGGTTCCGTGACATGTCTTGGTTCAATTTTCTCATGCCCGTACGCATACGTGTTTATCCCATCAATAGCTATCCAACGCTTAGTGTCCATAGGCTGCACAGGGGCGCCTTGTTTATAGTCAGTCCGTAGATATCCTATGCCCATCACTTCTAAAGCGTGTTCATTTTATGTCTAAAGGTACGGATCTTGAACAGGGCTTCCTTGAATCTGGCGTGTTTGATGTGTTGTTTAACCACGTACTTCTGAACACCCTTCGCCTTCCGGATCTCATCTCACCATTGTCGGCCTTCAGGATGGAGTACATCTTGGGTCTCAAACCTATGTACTCGGCTATGGGCGTGCCAGCACACTCGTCCTTCATCTTACCTAGGACCTTTTTGTTTACAGTGCTGTGTATGGCATGGTCCTTGGGGTAGTCGCTGGTGTCGTACAAATCGAGGCGTTTCTTCATGTCCTCGTACACGTCCTCGGTTCGAATCTCCATCAGCAGGGAATCCGTGTCGGTGTAAAGCACTTCACACCTGTCGTCATTACTTTGTTTCTTGAGCTCTTTGTAGTAAAAGTGCGTTACATCAGGTGTTTGGATAAATCGAGGATGCTCATCCCCACGTAAACAGGCGGTTGAATTTTTGTGGGTTTTCTTCATGTGTGTAGGGCAACCAGGTCGTCGGTGAATATCTTGCTCGGGTTGAATGCCGGGCTGGCTATCAGTCTCCTGAGCTTGTCTTCCTCATTCGACCGAACCAGCTTCACGGTCACGCGCTTTCCTCAGGTTCTCCATAGTCTTACCAAACACCGAGTTGTTCATGAGCTTGTAGAGGTTTTATCAAAGTCACTGGTGGCCAGCTTTACAGCGGAGTCTGTGTTCATTCTGATGTATGGCTCCATCCAGGGGCTCTGGTTGAAAACGAACACCCTGTGTATTTTGGTCAGCCTCATACCCAACGATCTACAGGTACAGCTGTAGGTTGCGATAGTGAACGATGTACTTGGTCTTATTCATTAAGTTGGGCACGAAGTTTTTCAATGTCTGCCACCACCCACCTAACAAGTTATGTTGGTACTCAGACATCCAGTCTGGGTTAACCCTCATACATTCGGTGCCAGGGGTAGCTGTTGTCGCGATGTGTGCAATGCTTTGGGGTATTCCAAGTCAACCTCGAGGATATAACCTTTGTTTGAATCTGGTGCGATGCTCATAACATCAACCTCGTGCGATGACCATTCGAATCCCCCTGTGGGTAGATACTGGCTCATGGCCCACCCGTACAGGTTGTTGGCGTCGAGGTAGAGAATATGATTGGTTGGCTTGCTCGGGTCGTAGCCCTTCACGTATTGATTATTTGCTTTCGCGTATCGTTTGGTTGCCATGAAAATCCCGCCTCGCAAGCCTTTCTCAATGAATAGGTGCATGTCGTGATCGGTGAGCAATTCCAACTTAGTCTTTTTCAGCAAGGCATCCCACGGCAGACCTGGGCTGGTGTAATACCATGCGAGGTCGAGTTTATACATGTCCGCCTAAACGTCTCAAACACGTCGGCTAACAGCAGTACATCTGTCCTCAAGTACAGGTCGTGGTAGTCACCCAGATTCTTACAGCCCAGTTTATTCCATACGTTAATAGCGTGTGAGTAATCGTCCTGGGTGATTGCCGAGTCTGTC